ACAATAGGTTAATTCAACATACATGGAGGCTTATGGTTCTTAAATATAGAAATTGTTCCATTGCTAATTTCCCCAAAGAGATTTCCGCAGTAAATGCTGTGAAATGTATATTAAAAGCAATACATAAACAGGTGTAGCCCTTAATAATTCCTCTCAAACCTGAAGATCTTTAAGTTCTGTTGTTTTACTGTTGAGCTTGCATAACAAACAAGCAAAAAACAATCACCACCTAAAAATCTTATTAAAATGAAATGATAATCTGAAAATGACAATCTATTTTTCCCCCTTTTCTTTCCTTCCTTAAACTTAACCTAAACTGCTTTTTTTTTTTTTCCCCTTTCCTGGTAGTTTTAAATACAAAAGGACAACTAAGTACCTTCATTTTAATATTCATTATTTCTCTTATAGTCTCAAGAGGAAATAATCATAGATCCATTTTTTTAAAGCCCGAACTATGATGTGATAAAGTTAAAAAGTCACTGGTATTTTCCAGGTTTAAATGTGGTCTTTAAAATAATTTAGATGTGCATCTGTGTGTTTTTTTTGGTATGCAACATATTTTCCATGAACAACACAACAGCTAAATCAACTCTGCGTGATTTTACCTCCTTTCGGCACTCATGCATTTATAAATAAATTATATCAGCTGTGTACCTACTTTGTCACTTTCCACCATGAGCTCACACAACTCATCGTACAGCAGACATTTGCAAAAGCGGGTGTGAAATTTAGACCAAGTTCCAGGAAAAGCAGTTGACTTTCTTACCTCAAGGCATAAAATCATAGGCCCTTTGCCAGGTTTGTGGACATTTCATTCTTTACTAAGCTAACTTCTCTCTCCACTCAGCTCTGTTCTTTTCTCCCTCTCCCTGTCTCCCAGGGCCACTCTGGAAGAAGAAAGAACCGCCCAGGTGAGCTGGTCATTCACTTGTAGGCATTAGAATGGCAGAGCTGTCACCTGTGGGCTGTTTAGGCTGCAAACATTACTAAGCTACTTTACAGAAAGTTATGTAAAGAGCTGTTAATGTTCCCTGAAGACTCCTGCCATGCTGGCTGTACAGGCGTTTGGAAAGAGGCAGGTCGGGACGTGTGTGGACGCTATCCCTCGCTATTTATGAGCTGAGCAGCTTGCGGTGAAAAGCTGTCATTTTCCCCCTGGGTGTGTAGAACCAGTTTCTCCGGCATGCCAGGCCACGAAGCTGAGGCTTATCCAAAAGGAGGGGCGGGGAGGTGGGCTGCAAGGAAAGCCAGAGATGTATCATTTATTTAAACTCTGAGTGGGGAGAGAAAGTGAGGATAAAAAGAAGAAAGGAAAAACTATCTTAGAAAGTTCCCTCAATTATCTGTGGCTTCCTATGGTGGAAACATCTTCTGTTTTCATTCAGTGGAAGTGGAGGGAAATGTGGGAATTAAGCTATATGGAGAAGAAGCAAGACTTACTCACCGTCCACTGGCTGGACCAAGTCATTGGCAGAGATAATTCCCGATCGACTTTCATCCCTTACAGATTAAATTTATCTAGAAAAACTCAAAGTTATCCAAACTGACTAAAAATGCCCTTTTCTATTCTGGAAAAGATTTGAATCATCCAAAAGGAATAAAAATGCCCTTTCCTATTTTGGAAAAGATCTGAACCAACATCTAAACTAACCCCATTTGAATTTTTAAATGGTATGTATAGTACGTTGGTATCTAACCAGGGACCCCAAACCTGTGCTGTCACCATAGAATAGAAAAAATGTAAACGTAACAGGTTACAACAAAAATCCTTCTTTTTCGCTTGCCTGCAAAAGTCTAGGCAGTTGGAATTCTTTAGTAGGCCTGCTTGCACTTTTCATAAAGCCGTATATAGGCAAATAGGCTAGGCATTGATCACAAAATGGACTTGTAAATGACTGTGCCTGCTGGTGTAAATCAGTGCCACCCAACAAAACAGAGGAGCCAGACCATAGTGTAGTTGTTGCTTTTCTTGAATTTTCTTAATATATCTGTTTTTTTTTTAAATGATTCTAACTGTCAACTGGGATTATTAGACTGCATAATGATATTTTTTATGTCCAAACACATGAATAAAATTACTTTTCCCCCATGTATATTATGGTTACATATGCTTTCTGAAAGTAAATTAACATAGAAATAAATCTGTGATGTCAAGAATATGCATTAACCTGTTTGGGCCTTATAAATATGTAAAAATAGCACCTAGTGCTTTGCCTCTCTCTGGTAGTGTAATATCTTATCCTGAATCTAGAACTGGACATTTTGTATATTAGAATATACAAATTCTAATTCATTCATATGTTGAAGTCCTGATCCCTCACTGTGAGGGTACTATATTTACTCAATGCAATTTAATAGTAATTTAAGAAAATATGGTGTGTTTGGTTTTGTACCTGGTGGTCAAGGGAATACGATGAAGACTGTCACGTGGTCTTACCTTTTTGAGGCTTATCATCTTGCCTTAGATGTGACTAATGCATTGTTGCCTGGGCTGTTGCATCAGATTCTACTTTGCCTTTATTCTTCTTCCAAATTGTTCTTCACACGTCTTCTAAAGAAATTCATCTTAGCTTTCTTCCCTCTTCCCCTCTTATTGGTAGAGAAGATCCTCATTGTCACTCCCCTTTGTGGCCCAGCGCTCTGGCCACACGAGCTGTCACAGTGGCTTTCAGACTCGCGGCTCACTCATCTCTCAATGTTTGTGTGTGCTGTTCCCCCTGCCTGCTTTTCCACATCTAACTCCATCCACCTGGGAAAAGTCGTCCTTATTCCATAAGGAATCTGCTCATGCAGCACTTGTGTTTTGCACAAGGCCTTTCCTGCTGCCTGCCCTCCCCAGCAGGGCTCGATCTTCAGAGTCCTCCTCCTCCTCCTTAACTACCCTTCTTCATGTGTTCTTTGAGTGTCTTTGGTGTGCTTGTCAGTATCCTTGACTGGCCTGAGTGCTCTTGGTGGCCAGGGTTTTTGTCTTATTCAATCTTTGTGCCACCACCACATAACACATCTGGGTAGACACTCAACAAACATCTGCTGAATGCACAGTCCCTTCATCACCTAAAAAATGATTTTCAAACAACACTAAGTCTACATATAGTTTTCTAGGACCACGAAGGCTGGAAGAAAACTGATTTACTCAAAATATCTGAATTGGTTCTGGCTTTGTCTTTTTCTCTTCCTGCCTTCTTTACCTTCATCTACTGACTGCTTCTCATATCAGTGAACAAATCCCATGAACCAAACCACCTCTTTCCCCAGCTTAAGCTCTATAACAGCTCCCATCATCCTTAGAATAAAATGAAGGCCTTACCTTGGCTAACAAGGCCCCCTGCAATCTTGTACCCCCAATCCCCCCAACCTCATGCTGTCCTCTCCCCATCATAGACTGCGTTCCAGACACAGAAGCTTCTTTTGGTCCCTAGAACATGTCAGCCTCTCTTCTGCCTGGAGGTCTTCACACCTGCTGTTCCATCTGCTGAAACCCTTTTCCATTATCCACAGGGCAGGCTTCTTATCTTTCAGGTATCAGCTTCAACGTTGCCTTTTCAAAGAGGCCTTTCCTAATCACCTCTTCCCCATCCTTTTCTCTAGGACTACATCTGTATTTGTCCTTCAAAGCCAAATCACAAGTGATTGATTTATTTGTATTTACTTTTTTCTTTGTTTGTTTATTCATTGTCTCTCTTTTTCTCCCATTAAACTGTGAGCTCCTTGAGGACAGGGACCATGTCTGTTTTTTCCTGCTGAATTCCCAAAGGCCTACAACGGCACCAGGCACAGAGTAAATGATAAGAAATATTTCTTGAATGTCAAGTGAATAATCAATCCAAAGCAAATTTGTACAGGGCTTCCTGATATACATAGATTCTCACAAAAACCAAATGAAATGCATGTGTAAAGTGCTAAAATTACTCTAGTGTTATTTTGGGCTAAATATTTGTGTCCCTTCCACCAAATTCATGTGTTGAAGCCCTGATCCCTCAGTGTGATGGTATTAAAAGTCCTTTGGGAGGTAGTTAGGGTTAGATGAGGTCACAAGAGTGGTGCCTTCATGACGGAATTAGTGCCCTCATAAGAAGAGGACGTCAGAGAGAGATGGATCTCTCTCTCTCCACAATAAGGCACCATGGAAAGGCTACATAAGCACACAGCAAGAAGGCGGCTGTCTGCAAGCCTAGAAGAGGGCCATCACCAAAACCCAACCATGCTGGCACCTTGATCTCAAAAAATAAATATCTGTTGTATAAGCCACCCAGCCTGTGGTATTTTGCTATAGCAGCCCCAGCTGACTAAGACATGTGTTTACATGTGCAGACCTCAAGCATTTTGGCCAGTCCTTGTTTCTATGATGATTTTGATGGTTAACTTGATGGAAAATGTCTTTGGTATCTTCCTTTCCTCTTTCAAACTTGCAGGCATTCTCCAGCCTCTGTTGCTATGTTCTGTGTGCTCGTATTCACTTCCCTCTCTTCACACAAACTGATATAACTCACCTAGCACACACAACCATCATGGATAGGCCTGAGCTCCCACTCAACCTAACACTATTGTTATGTCAAATGAGATCTTTTAGTGATATTTTAAAAGGAGAGTTTTACAAGTATCTTGGGCTATGAAAAAGGGGTCTTTAGATCAATTTGTTGGAATAATCTTCCAATCTTTTAAATAAATATGATTAGCAAAGGGAGTATCACACATTGACCTGGATGTAGTAGCAGGAAGAATATCCTCAGGTTCTTCAGCTCTCTTTACACAAATAGGCATTATCCCAAAATAAGTAATGCTAGGAAATATGTAAATAAGTTCCAATTTACAGTTGGTTGTTCTTCCCTTTCACTCCAATTTTTTTGTATTTATCAATAACTCAGGTATTTTATTTTTAAGAACATAGGCAAATACCTCTAACCTTTCTCAGGCCATTCAAGATTAAGCAAGGTTTGGGGTTCAAATGGTCTGGGTGACCACTTAACTCATGTGACCTTTTTGCTATTAATGTTTTCCAGAAAAACAACAACAGAATCATTATGACTACTAAGAATACATTTTAAAAAATTAACATGACATCTTGGATCTTATAAGAGTCAAGCTCTTCAGGAAACAAACCATGAGGTAAGTGATTGCCCAGTGATTCCATGTTCAGCTCTCTGAGATCTGCTGAGAATTAAAGGTGATTCTTAGGGCAAGCATACAGCATTATCAAAGGCTGTAGCAGCTAGAGCAGGTGAAGGAAACAAACAAAAACAAAAAGCAAAAAACCAAAACCAACCTAGACCATGCGGCATGCACCATAAACTGTGCTTTAGCTTTGCTTCCAAATGCCAGAGAACACCTGTCCACACTGGGGACCCGGCACACATTTTCTTCCTGGCGCAGCACACCAGATGCCCAGCTCTCATTAAGGAGAAGTTTGTCTGACAGTCTTTGCCTTGCTGTAATTCTCATCCCACTCTGAATTCCTCTAGCAAACACTGATTGAAAGCTCTCCATATGCCAGGCACCACACAACTCTGCAAACCTCCCTTGGATCCCACCTTTGGAGTAGGAGAGGCAAGGTACAGAGAGGGTGAGAAGGCAGAGTATTTGTTGTTTAACCAATTTTTGATTGGAAAGACTTTCAATCAGGCATTAAATTTATCAGGCTTCTGCTGTGGGTCTGACAGGCACTGGGGATGTGAAGTGAGTTCATGTGGCCCTTGCTCTTGAAAGGTCACAGTCTGGGTATAGACTTATCTGTAGGATGTATTATTCAAGGAAAGAAGCAAAGTATAGAACAGCATGGATGCTCCCATCTGAGCAATAAAATGGTATGTGATACATGCATGAGCACGCACATGTGCACACGCATGCATGCATAGGCATTACACACTCACACATGTGCACATGCACACACACGCATTGCACATGCACGCACGCACATGCATTGCACACACGTGCACACACGCATTGTGCACGCACACACACGCATGTGCACACGCACGCACACACATGCATTGCACACGCACGCATGTGTGGCTAAATGCCTAGACTACTTGGAAACACTGGTTGCTTTGGGGAGAACTAGTTTGTTTTCTTAGAGCACTTATCACTCTCTGAAATTGTCTTATATATTTATCAGCTTATTTATTATCTGTTTCTACACTGTCATGTGAGCACTTGCTTACAACTATAGCTCCAGTGACTACAATAGAGCTTGGTATGTTTTAGGTGCTTGTAGTTAAGATTTTTTTTTTTAAACGAATGACCTGGAAATGAGATGATGTAGGGGTAAGAATTCAGAGATGGGACAGTCTTGCTTTTGACTCTATGCCATTCTGTAATGCTTGAATATTTCAGTTTTTATTATGAAAAAAATACAATTAAGTATTTTGAAGTATATTAAGCAAAAGTAGAGACGACAGTGTAATAAACTTCCATGCACTCACTACCCCAAAACAATGATCAACTCACAGCAGATTATGTTTCATGCATATCTCTCTCACTGCCCTTCCCCTGCCTCAAGATTGTTTTGCAACAAACGCCAGCCATCATTGTGTCTTTAAGTAGTTCAATATGTAAACCATAACTGCAATACATTCTACACCTAAACAAACAAGCAATATTTTATGAAGAGCATCAATTATTCACCATTCAAATTTCCCTAATGAGTCTCATACTCTTCTTATAGGTTGTTTGAATTGTATTTAACAAAGTACATGTATTACTTTTCTTAGAATGTTTATTTGGGATGTTTACAATCTAGTAATCTAGTAGGGAATATGGCTCCATCCAATCATCCATCCATCTACCCATCCATCCATCCATTAAATAAATGTTAAGTGCCTAGTATGTGCCAGGCATTGTTCCAGGTGCTTGTTATATATAACTGAACAAAAAGAAATCCCTGCCCTTGTGGAGCTCTAGCCCTCTAGCTGACAGAGACCACTAACAAATAACAAGGTATGTAAAGCCTTGATTATGATTCAGTAATATGTAACATGTATGATAATGGAAAGGGCACAAACTCCTTTGATAAAAACAGTGTCATCATAAGAGATTCAAAGTATTGAGGCCCTTATTTTAGCATTTAAAACCTGCGATGTGTCTGGGCGCGGTGGCTCACGCCTGTAATCCCAGCACTTTGGGAGGCCGAGACAGGCAGATCACTTGAAGTCAGGAGTTCAATACCAGCCTGGCTAACATGGTGAAACCACATCTCTACTAAAAATACAAAAATTAGCTGGGCATGGTGGCATGTGCCTGTAATCTCAGCTGCTTGGGAGGCTGAGGCAGGAGAATCACTTGAATCCAGGATCCAGGAGGTGGAAGTTGGAGTGAGCTGAGATTGCACCACCACACTCCAGCCTGGGCAACAGAGCGAGACTGCATCTCAAAAATAAATAAATAAATAAATAAATAAATAAATAAATAAATAAATAAATAAAATTTGCAATGTTTTCGCAACACTATTCACAATAGCAAAGATATAGCATCAACCTAAATGCCCATCAATGATAGACTAGATAAAGAAAATGTGGTACATGTACACCACGGAATACTACGCAGCCATAAAAAGGAATGAGATCATGTCCTATGCAGGGACCCAGATGGTGTTGGAAACCATTATCTTCAGCAAACTAATGCAGGAACAGAAAACCAAGCACCACATGTTCCCACTTATAAGTGGGAGCTGAATGATGAGAACTCATGGACACATTGCTGGGAACCACACACACTGGGGCCTGTTGGAGCGGACAGATAGGGGGAGGGAGAGCATCAGGAAGAATAGTTAATGGATGCTGGGCTGAATACCTAGGTGGTGGGATGAGGTGGGCAGTAAACCACCATGGCACACGTTTACTTATGTAACAAATCTGCACATTCTGCACATACACCCCTGAACTTAAAAGTCGGAAAAAAAATTTGCAATGTTTAATGTTTTGATAAAACCTTGTAAACAGAATATATTGAGTTATTTAAATAACAATTAAGACCATCAAAACTTTTTTTTCCTTTAACTTTCTTACAAACACATTGACTGGGCTCTGCCATTATAAAGAAAGTCATGATAGCCAGGGGTCAGGTGCTATTTGTCAGGGTTTGAGAGGTCAGACTTGGATGTTTATGAAACAGAGCCAGTCTGATACCACATTCTGGTGTAGACTCTAAATATGATGAGCATTTACACAGACCAAGCCAGTGAAGTGCACTAATGCTTCTGGAGTAGGTCTCCTTAGAGAGAGCCTTTTGTGGTTGGAATTCGAATACCACTCATGCCCAAGTCATGAAGCATCTTTGGCCTGTTATCTGGATGGTCTAGGGAAAGTAGAGCTATTGGCAGGCTCTACTAAACCTAAGAGTATTTTTGACTCATGCTTGAAACCCACATTGAAAGGTGGTATTTTAACTCCTGAAAGGAAATGTCAGCAGTCTTAAAAATATATTAAAACTGAAAAGGGGCCGGGCGCAGTGGCTCAAGCCTGTAATCCTAGCACTTTGGGAGGCCGAGACGGGCGGATCACGAGGTCAGGAGATCGAGACCATCCTGGCTAACCGGGTGAAACCCCGTCTCTACTAAAAAATACAAAAAACTAGCCGGGCGTGGTGGCAGGCGCCTCTAGTCCCAGCTACTTGGGAGGCTGAGGCAGGAGAATGGCGTGAATCCGGGAGGCGGAGCTTGCAGTGAGCCGAGATCCGGCCACTGCACTCAAGCCTGGGCGACAGAGCTAGACTCAGTCTCAAAACAAAAACAAAAACAAAAACAAAAACACAACTGAAAAGGGCCAGTATAATGTTTTAACAGTTTTATGCTGTCATTAAGACACCAGACACTAGTACACCTTAACAATTTTGGTTAAATTGAACTTAACAACAATGACAAAAAAAAAAAAAAAAAAAAAGGGGGACAGGGAGAATAGGACTATATCTTACCAAGACATTTCAAAGACTATAGTGTAGCCTGAGTAATTTTTATACAAGTTCCCCAAAACTTACGCATCCAAATGATATTGTTTCCTATGCAGTGGTTGCTTTGGAAGATATACTCTATATTCCTTCAGTGGTGCAATTGTGCAAACCTTTTCTTTTCTTTTTCTTTTCTTTTCTTTTCCTTTCTTCTTTTCTTTTTTTTTTTTTTTTGAGACAGAGTCTTGTTCTATTGCCCAGGCTGGAGTGCAATGGTGTGATCTTAGCTCACGGCAACCTCCGCCTCCCAGGTTCAAGTGATTCTCCTGCCTCAGCCTCCCAAGTAGCTAGGATTACTGGTGCCTGCCACCACGCCTGGCTAATTTTTGTAGTTTCAGTAGAGACGGGGTTTCGCCATGTTGACCAGTCTGGTCTTGAAGTTCTGACCTGAGGTGATCCGTCCACCTCGGCCTCCCAAAGAGCTGGGATTACTGGCTTGAGCCACCATGCCTGGCCAGACATGCTGATTTTTTAAAATCCTACCTCATCTTGCTCCAATGTCTGGTTTCTCTCTAAATCCTGACTGTGCTCAGATTTCACTTTCCTCAAGATTCTGAATGCCTTCAAAAGAGGCCAGAGGATAATTCTGCAACCAACAAAAGATGGTAGATCTCTCTACTGAAAAGATGGTTCAAAAGTACAGGAAAAAAGTGATGATTTTCAGAAGCCTCATGGGTTCACCAAGCATGAATCATGTCAGAACAAGCTCATTCCCTTCTGCAGGATTGTATGACCTCCAGATACACGGGGACAAGGTATGGTAGAAAGCATCTTGGACTAGGAATTAGGAGATTGTCTTCAAATGCTTCTTCTTGCTACTTTCTAACCACATATTTGGGGCAAGTCACTTGCCTTCTGTTAACCTTCTGTTGCCCCATGTATAAAACAGGGATAATATTAACTTCTAGAACAAAGTAATAAATAAATTAGTAATACCCCCCTTGTAAGGATTGGTATGAGAGTTAAAAGAGGTAATATATTTTAAACAGATTAGAATACTTCCAGTCAAATAATTCAATACATGTGAGTAATCCACACACAAAGAAAAAGACTAAAAACAGACAAACGGCCATGCGTGGTGGCTCATGCCAGTAATCCCAGCACTTTGGGAGGCTTAGGCAGGTGGATCACTTGAGGTCAGGAGTTCGAGACCAGCCTGGCCAACATGA